TTGACTGTACATGATTAAGAAGTTTTTGTGTGAAGATTGTGGCAGGGTGTGAGAATCTTGTGTGTGTACAAAAGCATACAGGATACATCAAACATCAGAAAATGATATTAAATATTGCTTAACAGGAAAGTAGTGACGTTAAATATACTTTCTCTTGATCCACATTTTCCCATTTGCAGTCCTAAGAGCAGCTAACAGAATTACTGCCCTGAGGTCCCCTGGACACATGGTCCCTGTGCTTGTTCCATTGGTACTGCCCATTGCACACACGGCTCATGAGACAATGTCTGATCAGATGGAAGCATTGAGCAACTCGAGTGCCAGGCACCCAGCTGCATGGTTTCCTTCCTCCATAGAGTCTTGAACTTGGTATCCTGAAGGTCCATCACATTTTTCTTCGTTTGGTGCCTGGAAATTAGTTTTTAGAGACAAGGACCTATTTGCCAAGGAAATATGAAAGCAGCTCTAAAATGTTGTATGCCACCCATTGTCATAAACCTGAACAAGAAAGGAATAAATAAAAAACGTTGTCAGTCAGCTCTCAGTCACTGTGACAAAATACCTGAGAATAACAATTTAAAGGCAGAAAGGGTTATTTGGATTCGTGATTTCAGAGTTTTAGTCCTTGATCACTTGTGCCTGGTGCTTCTGGGCCTGCACAGGGGCAAGACATCGTGGCGGGCATATGTAGTGAAGCAGTCAAGCATTTCACAGCAGACAGGAGGTAGAGGATGAGTGAAAAGGTGGCCAGGGACGAAACAGGTCCTCCAGAGGCCCACCCCGGCTTCCTCTCTCCACCTGGGTCGGCTCGTCTCATAAGCCTCTCAGCTGGTGCTGGTCAGTGGATTAATCAGTGGGTTAATGAGGCCAACAGCGACCTGCGCCGTTCCATCTCGCTCCCACTCACACACTGCTGCACTGGGAATCGACTCCTCGACATGCGAGCCTTTGGAAGACACTCCAGACCCTCAAGAACTGCCAAATCCCCACGCTGGAGGATAGAACCACTCCACAGCACAGCTATTTCTGACTCTGCTGTTCTCCTTCACACATGAGAACTGTGATTAAGGCTAACAGTAGAAATTGCTCCTAAAAATCAACGTGTTAACCCCTTGAAATATCCTTACACATATGCTTCTTTTGGAGACTGGTGAGGTTCTTAAACACAAAGATTAATACTATTTTGATCATCTTAAAGATAATTACTTATGCTTAATTGTAGAATTAATAGAACCAATAAATATGCCTTTTCTATCAAATGCTTAAATAATCAAACCAAATATTTTCCTGTACTAGTTTTCAAATGGTCCATAAAAATCTGGGGACAACTCTATTGACTTCAAAAGGAAAAAAATCCTGGATTACATTTTTTTATATAGAAACCCTTTTGAGATCATTCTTTGTGCTTAGCATTAATGTAGCATTTTCTGAAAACAAGCTTAAACAACAAACTTGGGTTTGTTAAAATGACATTTAAATTGAAAACTTTATAGTCATCCCTTGGTACCCATGAAAAATTGATTCCAAAACCCCTCTCAGCTCCAAGAATACTCAAATCCTCAGATGCCCAAGTCCCTTCCGTACCACAGTGTAGTGTTTCATTATCCTATGCATGTACTCCTGTATATTCTAAATTATCTCTGCATTACTCAAAATCCCTAATGCAATGTAAGCATTGTGCATATTCTTGTTATAATGCATTATTTAGGGAATACTGAAAAGAAAAACTTACATATGCTTTTAGTACCAGGTGTATTGTTTTCCTAAATATTTTCATTTGGTGGTTGGTTGAATGCATGGACAGAGAACTCATAGATACAGAGGGCCAACTATGTTTTGTAAAGAAAGTATTTTTGATGTTTAAAGTGTTATAAAGTGACCTGGCTTCACTGTGTCCATGCACTGAGTTGAAGTGCTAAAAGTTGCAGACATCTTCATCAAAATAAAACACACATTTTTTTTTTTCAGATCAAGTTTTGGCCTAAGATGTAGCATAAAAATGACAGTTCTGTCTTACCTCTTGTTTTGCTGATCACCTTTCCCCAGAAGCAACAGCTTATCATTCTTAAAAGTATTTATTTTTCTTAGTCCCTTTCATTTATAAATATTAAAACAATCAATTTTGGGGCTGGGGAATGTGGCCTACCGTGAAGGCCCCATTTGGGTTCAATTCTCAGGAACGCATAAACACAAAAACAAATTTAGATTATTTTCCACAGCCAGACCCCCTTTCTTCTCTATGAATTCTACATACTTAAATGTGTATTTTTCTAACTAATTTTTTCAGTTTATGCATTATTATATTACTATGTAAGTATTATTCACCGAATAGCTGAAAAAAATTGCTTGGCCTCAGTTTCCTTCTTCAATGACTATTACGTTTTGGGAATGTGTAATTATATTTTACTTAGAATTTATTTCCCACTTATTTTCTATGCACCCTAAAGTAACTTTTTCTAAATGTTTCAATAAATTGTTCAATTGCTCTTCTTAGGAAGCATTTCCCGTATGGCCAGATGTTCCTTTTCCTAATGGAAGTCTCCTCTTCCAGGCGTCGCCTGCTGGTCTCGGCACAGTGCTTCTATCTCAGCCTCCTGCGCTCTGTGCCCCGCTACACATTTGTGCAACGCCTGTCTTATTCGTTCACGCATTTCTTCTTTTTGAATTTCGCGTTTTCCTGTTCTCTGACCTCTTCTGTTAATTTTATTAATACCCTTCTCAATCTGAGAAAAGGTGAGTTATAGGAAATACATTTTTGACAGTGCAAGTAATTTTGAATACTTCTAATCTATCTTTAGTTTGTTCTGGCTCCTGTAACAAAACTCCATGCCCTTGTGTGGCTCCCAAGCCAGAGATGTGTTGCTTGCCAATCTGGGGATCACTGTGCCTGCAGATTCCTTGCCGGATGAGGGGCCCCCACCCACCCACAGACAGCATCTTCTAAACTGTGTTCTCTTACGGCGACAGGTGAGGGAGCTCTCTTTTATGAGGTCCCTGATGCCAACATGAGTGCTCTGTCCTTAGGAGCAAATCTCCTAATGCCATCCATCACCCTAAGGATCGGGAAACAAATTTGGAGCACACCACACTCTGATAAGGAAATAAGGGACAGTGACTTTTGGGGCGTGTGCTGCTGTCTTCTACACTACAAGTGGCTATTTAATTATCCGATGTCCTCTTAACTCCTGCTGATGGTTATTTGATTATCTGACATCATCTTAACGTGTTTATTTATATGTGGCCAATTTGGTTTATATCTTTTTGAAAGCTTCCAGAATCTTGTTTGTATTTCTAGTGTTTTGAAATTTCATACCGAATGACACAGTGTGGACCAGTTCTTAGTGCATACATTAGACTGGATATTTTAAAAACTGAAATCATGCAATATAATTCTTTGGTGTTTCTTGATATTATTTCTTTAAAACATATCATCCTCTGTGTATGAATTTTTTTTACCCTTTCTGGAGTTGTTAACTTAATTCTGGATCTCTATTGTTAACTCTGTGATTTCTTAATTTTCCCTCCTGTTTTGTTGTTTTTTCACTCTTACTTTGAATCATATGATATTGCAAATATTTGATCATTTCTGACTAACAAATGTGACAATTCTACCTGGTTCACTTCTATTTCAATTTTTGAAAGATTTCTTTCATTACATTATATATATGTATTATATATTATATATGTACATTATATGTATTCATATTTACATGTTTATATATTTAATTTATATATTATATATCTATATTTTATATATTTTATTGTATATTATATATTTTAGGTATATATATTTTTCTATCAGTTTAGTAGGATTTCCAAATGTAGTTGGCATACATGAAAATGCATCTAATCTACTACATTTAACCAGAAATTCCACAATTTACATCTAAATATATGACATCCATAATTCATTGTTTAATAGAGAAGAAGCTTGTATTTTATGAGCCTATCATTCATGTTAAGTAACAGAAACCTAGAGGATACTAGATCTTAAATGCTTCAGGCTGAAAAACATCTAATTTATGGAATTTGAGAGGCTTGTATCCCTATATAAACTCATGCAGGGTTGAAGTTTGTACATGGTCATCATTCTTGGTGCAGAGAAAGGATTAGGCCAGCGGCAATTTCTTCATTTTAAAATGCTCTGCTTCTTTTAAGAAATGGAAATTGGGCATACAAATAAAGTAGTGTATCTACACAATTAGAGCTTTGAAAACTTAATTTTAGATTTATATGATTTAATAAAGAAAACAGAAGCATGCACTTTCAGAAATCTGGAGACAGCACTGCTATTGCAAGGATGTGTGAACATTATCTTTACTCAGTACTTTTGGAAGATATTACATGACATTGGTTTGGTTTTATTAATATAACCTAACAATTTTTCCCCATGCCTTAGCCAATAATGAACAAATATTAGGGGGAAATGGAATATTCTATTTATATTTTCTATGTGGACAGAGCATATTTGAATGTCTGCTTACTTCTGAAGTGAATAGATACCTGTGTGGTTAATTAACTTGGAGTAGGAAAGCTGGCAGGGCCTAGATTTATAGTGTTGTCTTGGGAAAGGGTAGTAGCAGGCTTTTCTGCCTATTCTCCATGCCCTTCATCTTCCTACAGAGGATATGATGTTTCCTGGGAAGAAAAGAATTGAATCCCACACTCAGGGACTGATTATTTAAAACTTTACCGTTCATGGATTCTTGTTTGGCGAACACTTCAAAAATCTTGGAAAGGACTCTATTAATGTTTTTTCATGGCACATAACTTTATAAAATTTATAGAAAGATGTGTTTTTTAATTGTCTGGCATGTGTGTGTGTTACCAGAAATTGAACCCAGGGCCATGCACACACTAAGACAGTGCTGTACAACTGAGCTAACGTTCTCAGCCAAAAGCATTATTTATAAGAAGCATAAATAGTCTTAATCTAATGGATATGTGCAGAGAGAACTTTGTATTTACAAAGCATTTGTTTTATTTCCTGCTTCCTGTAGATGGAGCTAAATCCTCATGCATATGTTTACAAGTCTTGGAATTCTTGGGGAGGAGATCTTTGAAAGACAATATTAATCTCTCTTACTAAAGGCTTTTAATTCTCTTCAGAATAAGTGGTGCTACAATGTACAAGATTTGGTGCTGAAGATAAAACAAACAAGTAAGCAAAAAAACCTAAGACTGGAAACAAAACGTTTTGGAGACAGAAGTCTTATGCCTGCTTCCTGGTCCTCCAGAGAGCTGCTCTTTGAATAGAAGTTGCCAGCGATGTTGCTATTTTTTTTTTTTGTCTGAGGTCATGTTTGACTTTTTTGTTTTTGGTGTTTTATTAAATCCCGCACTGTTAAACTGCCCATTATCTATTGTTCTTTTTCCTGGTGGGTATTTCCTGGACTTGTCTGTTGCCCTGTGTGACTAACTGACCCTGTATGACACTCCAGTCGGAAGGGACATTGCCAGTCTGTGGACGAGAGACTCATTTTACCACTTCCCCACATGGTCACAAACGGATGTGTGAACACAATGTGAAAAGCCAACAGGAAACTTAAAAAAAGAAACAAAAAAAAGTTTTTAAAGAATCGGATTGTGTTCTTACCAAGTTGCTCATAGAAATATAATTGTTCATTAATTCCAAAATCAGGAAGAGAAATCTTGTAACTTTAAAAAGCAAAGCCTTAATAATATTAAGAGTTTTAAATTAAAGTGTTAATGTAAAAACTATTTCATTAAGTGAATTGTCCCACATCTTAGGTGTTTTTTAATTTATCAAAAATGTATTAAATACAATTGACATCTCAAAATCAGAAAACACTTTTACATTTTTTAAAGACTTTTTTCCCTTTGATCAGCTTTCATTTTTCTAAGTAGTACACTAAGTCACAGGCAAAGAAAACCCAAGCAGTGATATTAACTATAACATGAAATATTATCCTGGGCTTAAGAAATCATAAATATTTTGAAGTTGAGAAAGGAAGAACTACTGGCATTAAAGTCCAAGCCCCTGCTTGTAAAATTATTTGTGAAAATCTCTAACACTCTTGAGTAAATTTTAACATTATGGTATTTTCAATAATCAAATGCATCATTTATTTGGATTAATAGGGGATTTACAGATTGATTTTTTTTCATATATGTTTCTTAGATTTACATTCCAAATAATTCTCAAAAATACTGGAGTTCTGAATATTAGTTTTTATAGTTTAGAAGGTGAAAGAAAAGAAATATTGGAACTAAAGAGGTAAATATGAAATCTGGGATTCAAAAAAATCATTGAGATTATTCTTTTAAAAATACTATCATTAAATCTTCTTCAGTTATGTTTACTATTACATAATGAATTCCTCATTTTGATTTATTAGGGCGGCATCGATAGGATGTTCTTTTTTATCCATGTTCGTAACACTGCATCCAAACAAGTGACTTTCTGAGCTTACCCTTTTCCTGGTCAATTAATCATTTTATATTGATTTGCAGAAGATACTCCACTGCAGAGACCTTCTGTAATTATCTAAATTTTATGTGTTTAGGAAGCTTTTGAAAAGCTAAGGCTAAATCAATTTTTGTAATGGTGAGAATAATACTGTGAGTGAAATAAATGTTTGCCTTTTTCACTTAGGTTATTGCATGAGTCTTTAAGTGTATGATTTGCTAATTAAAACAAGAAAGCAAAAACAGTTTTAATCTCTCAGTTGTTTTTCCTACATAGAAAAGCAAACCACTAGCAACTATTGTTTTATTTCCCTGTAATAATACTGCCATTTAGCTGATATTTGATGGATGAGGAAATTTAAATTAATTTTAAGTAAAGCTTATAGAGAAGTTATTAATAAGCATAAGAATATATTCCAAATTATTAAAATTATGGAGTTGACAGAAATTTATTCAGGTTATTGAAGAAGTCTTTATTTTTTGCATAGATATTTATAGTATGTTTACCTTTTTAAATTTTACTTTGAATATTCTTTCTTAGGGCTTTAGTTTGGGCGAGTTGGCCATACTTAAATCTGTTGTTTTAAATTCTCCTTGACTTGGCTTTTCTGAGAGCAAAGAGGAATAAAGGAGTCAGGGCAGGGGTCTCCTCACCCTGACCTACGTGATGAGGTGGGGCTGGTGCATCACTAGTTGGATTTATCACATACCCTTCCTGAGTCCTCACTCTACATGGCCCGGCCTTAATCCGTCAAACAAAACGAAACCTGGAGCCCGGAAGACTTTCCTTTGAAAGCATTCAATCCTCATCACATTTAGCTATTTAACCTCTCCCCCCTGACATGTAAGTCAATTTAATATTTTCCCGTAAAATTCATGAAATTGTCAAAACAGTCAAGGGAGAAACAATTCAAACCTCTAACTCAGTTGTAGGCTGAGAAGTGGAAATGCAGATTTCACTGGCTGTCCTTTCATGGAAAGGCCTTTCCCTAATTTCAGGAGCCCTGAAGAAAACACCGTGAGCTTTCTTTCGGTTGTACAGCACTGCTGCAGTTTGCTTCCGGGCCTTAGGGAGAGGGTGAAGTAGGTGGAAGGGAACGAAGAGAAAGATAAAGCGAAGGATGAGGCAGGCAATCCCAATGACATAGCCTTTTTATGCTAATAAATATTAAGTTCGCAGGTAAACATTAGTTACACTTTCTGAAGCATAACCCATCTCGCTGTTGTAAACAAGTCACAGACTGCCCTACATTAGAAGAGTTACAATTCGAAGGGCTCAGATTCTAGCAGATGCCCATCGTCGTTTTGGCGAAAGTCACTCAAGGATGCCTCTCAGGTTCTTACCAGACCAAAATAAGGTGCATTCAATTCAAACCACTTGTGCCTTGCACTTTATATACGCTTTTCACCATCATATTTATCAACAATTCCAATGTTTAGCTGTCAGATCATTTCCAAATATTACTCCACATTTATAGAATTTGGAGTTCATTATGTCCTGCAAATATTCAGCGCAGATTTTGGACTTCCTAGCTTAGAGATAGCTTCCGGTTCTCACAGCACGTTCCATGGACTCTGCCCACACATCCGGATGTCGCAGTTGAGCAGTCTCTGCAATCCGCACATTTCCACGGGACTTTTTGCAAGCCTGCCTCATGTGCAGGATAACAGAAGAATACGGTTTTCCTGAATATTAAGACTATAAAAATTCACTGAAACTATATTACCTTTTTATTTACCCTAAAAGAGATAAACATTCTTCCCTTTCCAGAAACACAGCAGCTTCAAATGCACATGTAGGTTGTAGAAAGATGCATAATTTAGGGTACTTTTAAGGTGTTGAATAATGAAGCAGTCTTTTATTTATTTCTTTGATATTCTACTAAAAAGGGCACCAATTTTTTTTTTTTTACAAGAAGACACACTCTTTGTTCATTAACGTAGTTTTATTCATCATAACTTTGAATCACATTATCCCTTTCACAGAACTACTCACGCTGTTTCCTGCTCCTTGGCACAATGAAGCCATGCATATGCATGACATATCGTGAGTGTCATTTTAGCAATGACTCTGTTAGTATGCCGAGGGAGAAGGAAGGCGAGATTACTGCAGCCAGGGAAGCTGGTTTATTTTGCAGCCTTTAGCTTTCTGGAGTGAGTCTGGAGATGAGAACGGAATTCCATTTTAAATGCTATGTTGTCAGTGGGTAAATGCTCCACTTATTTACATTCTCAAATTCAGTGGGGACGACTTATTTAAAAACATACGTATCAGCACTTCTTTGAAGAAACAGAACCAAAACGCACATCTTAAATCGCACACTTTCACATTATTTTAAACCATGTTAACTACCTATTGGCATTTATATGCTTTACATGGAGATCAGGAAAAAAATCTTAAAAGCTTTAAGGGAAAACAGAAGGAAAAAATGAAATATGCCATTAAAAAATGACAGAAATCAGTCTCCTAGCTAGAGGATCTCAGAACTACCAACAGGTGGCGCAACAACCTATTTTATACTTAGCACTACCAGAAAAAACTGAAGATGACATTTTTTTCTTTGCTTATTAATTCTTAATGTACCGAAAAAATAACAATTTTAATGATAACATTTAAATTATAATCATGGAAACTGTAATAATTGTGTTAGAGTAATAATAGTACTATCATACATGACATCAACTTTTTACACTAAAAGGGACTTTAGGGATTTCTGGTCCAAATTCTTTTTCTGTGGCTGAGGAAACTGAAGTTCTTGACCTTAAACTTAAATCCTCAGCAGGGTAAGATCTTCAGGAGAGCCCTGGCCACCCATTTAATGAGTCACTGGTGGATTCAACAACATTGTTCCTCAGCCTAATTCCGTTCTGAGTCCGGTTGTCAAAATTTGGGGATATACAATCATTAAAGACAGTATTTTTCAGCCAGTCTTTATCTTAGGGAATTCCTCACTTCTGCTGGGAAAGCATTCGTCTTTCCGGATGGATGATGGCATTTCGGGGGGAATGGGATCCCCCACTGTGTCGGAGTTTCCACCCGTGACTCAGCAAGCCATCTGGCCAAACAGATCCTCTTGAGCCTCTGCCTAACTCTGCAGTAGAGGGAGAAGATTTTTCTCACACATTTGGTTCATAGTATGAAGATGTTTTCTACAGATTCAGCATCATGCTAACAGAAATCACTAAGGGACCTAGTTTCCATTCTGTTGCTGGGAGGTTAATGGTAATGTATGCTGCTATTGAAAAATAGACGTTGTCACTACACTACACTATTACAGTATAGAGAAGGAAGAGAATGAAAGCTTGAGTTAAAAAAGAACACACAATGCACCAAAAATAATCACTTTAATTGACAAACTAAAATAAAAAAAAAATCCCTAATGACATACATGGACTTTAGAAATTATTTTGTTTTGTAATTTGCATTATTTCTTCTCAGCAGTGTTTCCAAATAGCATGAAAACTATTTTAAGGACCATCAATGATAATTTATACTTAAAATAACAAATTATAAGCATTTGTTACAAAGATGAGGAAAAATAGTATTTCTGAAAAAGCAAAATACCCTATACGTTCTATCTGGACTTGCATCTTATCCATAGAAGATATGTTCTATTCAGCCATGAAACAGGGGATAGCAGTTTAACAATGAAATGACCTTCAATATATCATTAGGAAATACAAGATGAACTACATTCAAAGGTTTTAATTGGGAAAAATGAGCTATTTCATAGAATTTTAAAAAATATGTCAAAATATGGTTTCCTTTGAAAGTCTCTGGAGATAAAATTTCCAAGAGCATTGTCATCATTTAACCAAATTAAAATTTGAACAAAGGCAATATGTTAGGATAGGTATTTTAGAAGCAAGATTAAATGAGAAAATGCAGATAAAGAACTTTGCCATTGCTTGGCTCAAATAATTA